TCAATGGCATTAAGGCTGAATGCTGTTGTGTCAGTGATAATACCGTGATATAAATATTTCACAGCTCTGGTTGATTTTTTATTCTTTTTTATTTTTCATTTCAGAAAATTGTTGAAAGAAGACATAGTGAATTATTCTACAGGTAAGAGAGAATATAAGTTTCCTGCAAAGCTGTGAGTGCCAACAACTTTGTGATCTCAAATTAGATAGACATTGTTTGTTATGTACAATCCCTGGATTATTTGTGGAGCACTGCTGCATACTGTGCATGACAAACAAAGGACAACAGATAAAATATAACTGTACAACTCTTCATAATGTGTATTACAATGCTCTACATATTAAAAATCATATTTGGAAAAAAAATTAAAAAAAAAAATGAAAGTTTGTTACCCTCAATTTCACCTTATAGTTATGCCAGTTTATACCATCAAATACCTAAACTGACAAATGTATAACAGGGTTGTTTTACAAGATTTTTTAGACCCCTCATTCTGGCCTGACAATTAAAGGCTTCTTTGCTGAAGTCCCCCCCCCCCCCCCAAAGCTACCCCTGCATTAATTAATCAATATCAAAAACTGAGGTAATATTAACAGTGTTGGCTTCCATCACTTGGGAACAATAGTATGCCAGGCGCGATAAGTGAATCTTACCTGACGTCCCTTCATAAAGCTATGGCAGAGGAGTTCAGCTGGTCATGCAATGCTGTAATTGAGGTTCTTCTCCCCAGGGGGAGCTGTAGTTAGGGCGATGTGAACTATTGGATTTTTGTGTGCGGCAAGAAGATGATGTTGTTGTGTCAGTCTGGAAGAATATGCAGTTGATTATGTGATATGATTTTTTATATGATTGTGTTTTATGGATACAGGTTGGTTGACTGTCAGTTGTCTTCAGAAAATAAAATTGTCAGTCCTCTGTTATCAAAGTAATTTATTAGAAGTCCAGCAAAATTTGAATAGCGTTTTCAGGCCCCTAGCCAGCAATTTCAAAAGGGGGGTTCTTTTTCTGAAAAAGTGGACCTTTTCCCATAAAAACTTCATGTACCTAGATCAAATTTTACCCAGAGTGGACCTTCTCCCAGCAAAAGGGGCAGTTC